ATATACATTCGAGAGGAAAATTATTAGAGTTGTCACGGAGTAAGTAAATTCTGAAATTCTCTGACTTTTCCAGAAATGAGACCAATATGTAATTTTGAGTTTTAACGTTTAGAAGCAGGGATTACAAGAAAGGTAGCTTTTATATTATATTAGACATACGTGACGTTTGGAAGTTTAGTAATATAATTCTGAATGCAATAAAAAATTTCAGGCCAAAAAAATAAATATTGGAAAAAAGGATATGATGGCAAAAAAGAGCGATCAAATAAAAATGTTGAAAAAGTTATGTGTTTTTTAGAATAAAAGCGTTTAAGGAAATGCAGTGAGCAAAGTTCGAAATTCTAGACTTTTTTATATGTGTTTCGCCTGACCAATTTAAATTTCCATGACGTTTCCGATTTTCTCGGTTTCCCAGGCCTGTGGCAATTAATTATTCTACAGTCATGCAGTTCTTCTCGTGTCTCAGATGACAATGGAGTCAGCCAAAACGGATACAACTATTATAATTTATCTTAAACCTAAATTATATTATATCTTAACTCTTATATCTCAATTCTGTGTGAGAGTTAAGATAAGAGAGATATCATTTTTCCGTCAAAGCGTCCTGCCGGAAAACATTTGCCGGACGTTAACGTTGCGTTTCGGGTTCGAGGTGTTCTAAAGGGTGCCTATGGGGTCGGCTGGGGCTTAGATTTCATTAATTTCCACGCAGATTCGTCCCTGGGAGCGTGCACGCGTACGTACGCACATACGTACGTACAGCGAGATGAGAAGCGGGAAGAGAAGGGAGATACGGAAAGGGGAGCAACGCGATATCTCAGCGGGGCTCGCGATCGTTTTCGTCTAACGGTCCGCCGACGATTATCGGGCAAGATCTTGACGACCGGATAGCGCCACGAGCGCGGAGACAAACATCGAGAGGATCCGTTCTCACGTTGCCGGCGCGTCTTCTTATTCTCTCTTATTCTCTCTATCTCCCCTCCCCCCCTCCCTCTTTCCCTCCCTCTCGCTCTCTCGCTCTCTCGCTCCGTCTCTAGCCGTCTCGCCGTGTGTCTCTAACATGTGAAATACGATAGACACGTCTAGGCGCGAGAGGAAAGAAGATACGGGACAAATTAGCGGCCTTTATATGTTATACAGCGAATTGAGGCTAATCGTGGCGAGAGAGCGAGTAAAAGGGGAGAATGCCGAAAATGGAATTACGCCCTAATGACGGAAGCGGGCCGATTCATTTATGAAATTGCGTAAGCTACGGAGTCACGTCGCCGTAAATACGAGGGAAAACGAGGGACACGGGGTAAGTCGCTGCGGGTGCCTATATTCTACGTGCACGCGCGATTAAACCCTCTGATGCACCTTGGGAGTCTCTCTAAAGTCACCCGGATATACCTTTTGTATAATTACACCATCACATGCATATAGCTTTAAAGACATTCTATATATATATATATATATGTGTGTGTGTGTGTGTGTGTGTGTGTGTGTGTGTGTGTGTGTGTGTGTGTGTGTGTAGCTTTCTGGAAGCTCTGTTTTACTCCAATTTACCAGATTACGACATACAAGTAATATGAAATTTTAGTCGCGTTGGCTTAAATTTAACCAGATATAACATTACGATTCAGGTTAAAGGACAAAGATTTAAATACAAAAAAAAAAAATAGCGTAAAATAAAATGTAAGCTAATTTTTATAAACTATCAACTCAATTAGAACACCCGAGGATTGAAATACGAACGCGATAAATATAACTGCTGGCGCTTACGAAAGACGATGGAATTTTCGCGTTGTTTCATTAACCTTGTTTTTTTTTTCCTTGCGATTCGAAACGTACTCGTGGATCGCGCAAGGCGATTCAATCATTACCAAATCGATTATATGATTATATCGCGAAACGAGGGCACCGCCGCTACTTCAGCACGCCTGCGAATCAAGCGGAAACTGTTTTGAAACTGTCGTGTTTTACGAATGCGCGAGAGCACGGTATTGCACGCGAGCTGCTAAATGTTACGAGTATAATGGTTAATAGACGAGTTAATGGTTAATAAACTAGGTTGTCATTATTTTGCGTGCCGTGCATACTTTCTCTGTTTAGCCTCCTTGACGCTGGGATTATTTTGTAAAACGTGGAACATTTTGCTGCAAGCGTGTTAAATAATTACACGTTTTCCATCGTAACATGTGTTTTCCTCTGTTAAACAGAGATTTTATAAATGGAAAAATACGGAAAAGAGAGTAGTTTCGTATAAACATACGCGCACACGAAACGTACACGCTGTACCTGGCAACATAAAAGTGCCAGTTACATCTATAATTATTAAAAAAAAAAAATCGAGATAACAGAAGGAAAAATATCCCTCAAAAATTATGCCATTTAAAATCATTTTCCCTTGTACCTTTTTAAAGTACAAGTTCCAGCGTTGATTCGAATAAATAAATAAATCTTTGTTCGAGATTAACGTACAAGTATCGAGGTTCGTGCGATTGATTACTTCGGTTTTCAAGACGGTATTTATATAATTTAAAGAACACGTACTTCACGCGTGTGAATTTAGTATATTTTCTAACTCGGCTAACCATTTTCACGCTTGGCGCGATTGTCATTGATGGAAAAACTTTGTTACCACGATTCACAGTCACGTTTGAAAACGTGACACGTTCCGCAAACTCGAGGTAAATGCCGATTCACGTTACCTGTCCGGGTGAACAACAGGTAGAAAAACGGAGAGCTGTAGTTCTTTTTCATCCAATAGTCCAAGAATTACCACACCTCGTATCTGACTAAACGTCCACTGTCAGCCGCGCGCGATAACGATCGGTTCGCTCGTCGACATATTTGTGATGCGATCGCGTCACGAAAATTCATTTCCCGCCCGGACCGATCTCTTGGACATTTACGACCATTTCTCGTATATCTATTATGTGAATTTATTGGAATTTAAGTTGGTCAATAAAATGCTTTAGTCGATGCTACGTGTGTTTGTATCTCATTTAAATAAATATGGTGATTTATTTTCAAGCGTCAAAGTTTAAACAGGATGAAACGATATTTTGATAAACAGAATGCAGAATAAATCGTCATATTCAAAATAAATTGATTTATTCATTGCACTTCTGGCCGTATTGTCGTTATTATGAATATACAAGTAATCGCAAAATGTGAAATAAAGTTAAAGAATTCAGGACGATATTCACAAGACATAAATCGCTAAATAGGGTTTTTTGTCCTACCCTAATCTGAAGAAGATGTAAAAGGTAGATTTTACCTTTTCCTAGGAAGGAAAAAAATTAGACAAAGTGGACGCAGGATAAACCGCCCGGGTAGAGAGTTGCCCCGCTGCGGAACTGTTTTGACGTTTGACGGATTACGTAACGGGACGAGGAAGAAAATCCTCTAGCGCGGGGGCGGGGGAGGAGCGAGGGGGGGGAAAGAGAGGGAACGGTCCGTACGATCCGTCGCGCGGCGAGTGTTTGCCCGCGTAAAATATTTGCGCGTAGAGTCGAGCTCAAACACGTCGTGTCCTGTCATTTCCCGTATGTGGTACAAATACACGCCGCGCGTATTTGTGCGTCGCGCTACGCCGAAGGCGCGTTCTTCGGCGCGTTTGGGCGCGTGCGAAAACTTTATACGCTCGTGCTCGCTTGTGCACACACTCGCGCGTCGCCTATGTACACGCGGACATGGTATCGCGTGTCGCTGGCCGACCTTCGTCATCCAAAAATTTCTTTGCACAGCCATATAGCGTCCACCACTTCCCTCCCGTGTTTTTTTTCTCCTTTTTTTTTTCCCCCT